TATTTTCAGCCTTCTGGCTGCCAAGCTCTTTCAATATACCGTTAATTATTATTATTATTATTATTACACACACACACACACACACACACACACACACACACACACACACACACACAGATAAAGAGATACGTTGACACACAGACAGACACAAACAAGCACACGAGGCTGTTGAAAATAACTTTTATAATACTCTTGAGGTTACTAATTAAGTACTCTACGTGTGAGGACTGACTGGAGGGATCACACCTTTGTTTTACACAGGTAACCCGGCAACACTCACCTCTGGCACTAAAACACAATTAATATATAGTTAGTTAATTAGTTAGTAAGTTATTTAGTTAGCTACTTACTTACTTACTTAGTTAAAAATATAAAAAAGACTGGCCGCCTTAAACACGTGACCTAGGGTGTGTGGTGTTTGTATTGTCTTACGTCGTTTGTTATTGTTATCATTTGCCGTTTTATCTTCATTATTTCTTCCATCCTTACTTATGAGATGTCTTTCCCTGTTACTGTGTCGAGTGGCTCCAGCGGTGCAGAGGATGAAGGAAGATTTAAGGATATTTTCACAGCAAGAAAGAAAAGGTAAGAGAAATAGAAGCACACACACACACACACACACACACACACACACACACACACACACACACACACACACACACACATATCCACACACATATCCACAATACACACACACACACTTACTGTTTCAGTCATAGCTCCAAATCGGAAACCAGTTAGAGACCTGAACCTTTACACACATAATACATGGGTCCCTTGGTAATTCTACTGACCAAGGACCCCCGGGTGGCCCGGGCAAGAACCAAAAATCTTCCCCGACTTAGTAACAGCAGAAGGACTCATAAAGGCAGAAAAAAAGATTCATAACAGGAGAAGGACTCATTAGAGCAGAAAGACTCAGAATAGAAGAGGAAAGATTCATAAAAACAGGAATCATAACAGCAGAAGAATTATTCATAACAGAAGAAAAATTACTCATTACAGCAGAATCAGAACTCATAACAGAAGTACTCATAACAACAGAAGAAAGACTCATGACAGAAGGACTCATAATGGCAGAAGAAATACTCATAACAGCAGAAGAAGGACTCATAACAGAAGGACTTATAACAGCAGAAGGACTCATATCAAAAGAAGGACTCATAACAGCAGAAGGACTAAAAAAAGATGATGGACTCATAACAGCAGGACTCACAACAGAACAAGATGGACTCATAACAGCAGAAAAGGGACTTATAACAGCAGAAGAAGTACTCATAATAACAGAAGAAGGACTCATGACAGAAGTACTCATAACAGAAGAAGGACTCATGACAGAAGTACTCATAACAGCAGAAGAAGGACTCATGACAGAAGTACTCATAACAACAGAAGAAGGACTCATGACAGAAGTACTCATAACAGCAGAAGAAGGACTCATGACAGAAGTACTCATAACAACAGAAGAAGGACTCATGACAGAAGTACTCATAACAACAGAAGAAGGACTCATGACAGAAGTACTCATAACAACAGAAGAAGGACTCATGACAGAAGTACTCATAACAGCAGAAGAAGGACTCATGACAGAAGTACTCATAACAGCAGAAGAAGGACTCATGACAGAAGTGCTCATAACAGCAGAAGAAGGACTCATGACAGAAGTACTCATAACAACAGAAGAAGGACTCATAACGGCAGAAGAAAGACTCCGAATAAGATGGACTTATACAAGCAAAAGAAGGACTCAGAACGAGAGAACAGAGAAACTTGGCAGAGAAGCAACTATCTAGCCCCCGGGGGCCTCCAAACACGGGGTGAACCGGGGCCAGGTGGAGGCTGGGGGGGGGGCTCTATTATTTTTATGGGTTTTCCTGGCATGGGACAACACGGGATGGGACACATGGAGGAGAGCCTTGGGACACAGGAGGAGTAGGTTGAACTTGGGGCATAGGGGAGGGGGTGGTGTCAGAGGTAAGGGCTGGGACCCGGGGCACAGTGGGAGGTGGTGGGTCTCGGGGTACAGAAGTAAAGGGCTGGGACCTGGGGCACAGTGGGAGGTGGTGGTGAAGAGAGAAGGGTGGAACTCGGGGAACAGGAGGGGAAAGAGACGATGAAGGGGGAGGGAGTGGTGAAGGGGAGGGAATGGGGAAGGGGTGGGCTATGGTGCATATGGTGCCAGATTTAGATTTTCATATTTGCCTCATCCCCTCGCAGGACAAATCTGAAGAAAACAAAAATTACGCAGTGCGAGAGCTAGTTTATTGGACGATCACACGGGGTCGTGGTAGTGAAGGGGGAGGGGTGCGCCTCGGGTCACAGGAGGGAGAGAGTGGTGAAGGGGTATAGGAGTAGGTGGTAGTGAAGGGGGCTGAGTTTAGGTCACGTGAACCTGAGGAGAGATTTGTCAACAGTAGCACACTGCCAACTGGCGGCATGGGGCCAAGCGAGAGCTGGTAGCCCCCCCCCCCCCTCTGTCTCTCTCTCTCTCTCTCAAAACTAACCTGTATTATAAAGTCAGTAAAATATTTTTAGACGTGCTGCCAGCTGTGTGTGTGTGTGTGTGTGTGTGTGTCAAACTGCCTGGAGAAAAAGTCACTCCTTCGCCTACTAGTGGAGAATATTTTTACTTCTATATTGGTGTAGCGTGAGGTGACTCAGCTGTATGTGCTCACCTGAACTAGGTGAAGTTCTATAAGAAAAAATATTAATGTTCTTTAACTGAAACTGTCGATAAGGAGAAATATCGAGGCGTTGTGGTAGATCATTTACTGAATGCTGCACAACAAGTGGGGACAGCAGTGAGAAAAACAAACCGAGATTTGGGAACTATAAATTTATAAAGCGTACCATCGAATACAAAGATTGGAAGGTGTTCCTTCAACTGTACAAATTTCACATACATCCCAGTCTAGATTACTGTATGTAATAGTTGCCCTTCGTGTACAAGGATAGCCAGCCCAAGGGTCACCTAGGTGCCTATAGTGCGTTTTTTCTCTGATGAGAAAAGATGCCCCGCCCCTCCTCAAGAGTTCAGCTGATTGGCGGTTGCAAATCTGTCCGATTTCGTCCTGAACAATGATACATTTCTAAATGAGTTTATTCATAATCGTTGGGATGACCGTTTTTGACGAGAAAATGTAAGTTATTTCATAATTTAGTATTACTGATATATGAATAAAACACTTTTTTTTATATAAAACACTGTGTAATTCGATATTTCTAACACTCGACATATTATATTAAATAACTGTACCTCAAACTCAACTATAAATCAATTAAAAAAGCGAGAAATTCAAATGAGTTGAAAACGCGGCCCTAATTGTTTATTCTGGAGGTAATAAAGTCCAGCCTGATGCAGGAGGTTAAAGCGGCAGCCGTTGTTTGCCAACCCTTTTATTAACAGTGACATTACCCACATGAATCTGACCTCTATATACATAGCTGTCAATGAATATGTTGTATTTCTTTGTGTATGAACCTCTGTCCTGTGTGGCAGTGAGAAGTGATACCACCCTCAGTGTCAAGACCTGACTGAATTACTCAGAATACGCAAACTGTACTACAAGCTTTGCCAATAAATTTGTTAAACTAAAAACTAACTTGAGTTTATCAATACCCCATACTTATTTATCTTTATTTAAAAATACTATCTTCGCTCTTTTCTCTTTTTCAAATTTAGTTTTAATTAAGTACAAGTAATCAATTCATTGCATACAGTTAGTAATATTCAATGATGTTCTCAGTAAATATTTTAATTCCAAAGTTATGCACATTCGTGGGTGATGTAAATGATACATATATATTTAGCTTGAAGCAAAATACTCTCTTGTTCAGATATGAATAAGACAAACGTAGCCTGTCTAATTACACCTCGAGGCAGCATATTATGATACTACTAGTTTGTGGAGATTATTGTGTTCCTTCCTTAGGCTTTAGTAAGCCCCTTTATAATATTTATACTGTATATACTTGTCACACTAGCCAGATGCTTCCGGTGTCATTGTACAGGGGTACCTAGTGACAGCACTAGGATCCCGCTTCCTCTATCAAGGAATAAACAATTGAAATTGGATTGAATTGATTATTGTGCTGTAATTGTAGGTATAATAAGTGTTGTGGGCGGTGGCAACACTTGTTGTGAGGGTCGCGTCCTCCCAACCTGTTGTCAGGCAGCGTTGCGGGGACCATTATTTTCTTCAGTACGAACAAGAGCATGATCTTGTAGAACCAGATTTATTTTTCCATTAACAGTCGTCCGTTCTAGATTTAGCCTTAAGTTAGCAATGCTCTGTAAATAATTTATAATTTTTTCCTGAAGTCTGATTGGGGTTCCTTAATAGTTTAGCGCATCTAAAGACAGCTTCATAGAAATTGCTTATTAAAGTTAATATGTTTCAAATGGAGAGAAGAGAAAATATGATATACTGTACAGTACCTTCTATTTCTGGATGCTAATAAAAGTAAATTTGGATGTCGCTTCTTCCAATGTGTGTTCATCCTAGGAAAAAATGGTGAGGGTTCTGGTGATGTGGGGTAAGTTGCCATGGCTCCCCGCCGCACGCCACCACGCTGCTGACGTCACTACATCCTTGGTGATCCCACCACTCACGAGTTGCAGGAAAATTTCCATCCTCAGTCATCTTATCATTATTTTTCCCGGTCATGGTTTATTCCTAGTAATGTGTCAGTAAAGATTTCTTCCATATTTTAAAGCTGACTAAAGTTAACGACCTTTTCTGAGTTGCATTTCTCTGCATTGCGAGTTTGTACTACAAATTTTAATACTAAACAATATTTTGTATGCGCTGTTGTTGAAATAAAATTTATTATTATTATTATTATTATTATTATTATTATTATTATTATTATATACGCCTGTCACCCGCTGTTGTTGTTGTTGCTGGATCCTGGCCTGTTGCTGTAAAGGTACGTGTACACTGTAGACATTTTAGCTAGATTTGCTCTAGCTAGAGCTCTCTAAATAGTGTAAACAGAAGTGAGAGCGCTCTAGCTAGACTTAGTCTCCGATCTCCGTAGGGTTGTTGTAGTCTAGCTAGTGTTGTGGTGGACACGAGGTGGAGAGCACGTGCCGAGACTGCTCTAGGCCTATTTGTTGATTTAAATAGATTTCTTTGTTCTATCTAAAGAACTGCTTTACCACGCGAGTAAAATGTCGTCCAATAAAAGATGGAAGTGGGATAGTGAAAAGACAATGTTATTAATACAACAATATGGAAGGTTCCCAGAACTGTGGAATGTGTCGTTGATGGAGTACCGCAATAAAGAAAAGAAGGCAAATGCTGTAAAAGAAATAGCAAAGATATTAAATATTCCAGAATCAGAAATCACACGAAAGTGGCACAATTTGCGCTGCCAAATGAACAGCGAAATTAGAAAATTAAAAAAGAAGAAAAGGAGCATCGGGGCTGATGATGTGGTTTTGAAAAGTACATGGGAATTCTTCGACACTCTCCACTTCATGATTGGATGTAATAAACCGCAAGGAAGCACCAGTGCTAATATGGTAAGTAAAACAAACTATATTTTGTAATCATATGATCATATATTTTAATCATACATATCAAAAGTACGACCAAAAACACTTACTTATATTTCACATGCAGCCTATTTATTCAGAAATATTTATATTGCCATGGAACCTCACCCTTTTCTGTCATGAAATACTGTTTAAACTGATCACGAATATCTTTAGCCATCCTAGTAGACTTTTTAGTAGTAACTGAACGTTGCAAGGAATGCAAAGTGCTGGCAGGCAAACCGTCTTGTCTCCAACTTCCTGCAGTACAAATTCCATCATCTTCCTTATCGAACATTCCAGAGGGAGCATAAACACGGGCTGAGTTATTTCGAGGGAATAAAAAATTGTGTAGAGCACATATGGATAATACAATTTGCTTCACTCTTTCTAGGGCCACCTCCATCGGCCGTCTTATGATGCGGAATCGGGCAGATACCAATCCAAATGCGTTTTCCACTACTCGGCGTGCTCTGGATAATCTGTAGTTATAAATGCGATTTGGAGCAGGTTGATTTGTGAAAGGAAACGGTTTCATGAGGTATGACTTCAATGCAACGCATCGTCAGCAACAACGAATGGTACAGGGTCATCGTTATCCGTGTAATCTAGCCGTCGTCCAATTGGTATATTCAAAAGATTGTCCTCTAAAGCTGTTGATAATGAGCAATTTATAAATATTCCTCCGTCAGATATTCACCCATTGCAACCGACATCAATGTACATGAATTTATAATTTGCATCAACCAATGCCAATAGCACAATGCTGTTGGTACCCTTGTAAATGAAGTATAAGCTTTCGCTGTTTTGTGGCTGTTTCATGACGACATGTTTGTCATCGAGTGCTCCTATGCAATTAGGAAACTGCCATTTCAATTCAAAATCTTGGGCCACTTTGTTCCATTCTTCATTCGAACTGGGAATCTGCAAAAACAAAAACATTACGTGTTCACAAATATTATCCTGGATGTGAATCAGAAAAAAAAATATTGTTACAGTATACTGTACTCCCTCGTATCCGGTATTCAAAGATAATTATTAAAAGATTCAAAGAATCAATTTCTACTTTGAATCTTTTAATAATTTTCTCTTTTATTCGGGTATTAATATTGTACTATTTGTAACATTGTACATCAACTGAGGCAGTAAACTCTTCATAGATTCTCTGTTTTCATAGGTGTTTATACTCATTTGAAAGAGGATTTTACAAGGATTCTGGTTTGGCAACTTTCATTCAGAAAAAAGTACTGCCATAAGCGAGGGAGTGTGATGTATGTACACCTCTCATTTCACCGGAATTTTCAGATATCCGACATGGCCTAAGTCCCATAGGTGCCGGATACGAGGGAGTCACCTGTACTTGCTTTTAGTTTAGGAATTGTGGTTTTTAAAAGCATTAGATTTCAAATTAATCTTAAGGAACTTAATTAATTAACCATTAATTGTCATATAGTTTTGTACAATATTTTATCGTTCTGTTTTTCAGGCTCTGTCTTTCTCACAAAACGTAGTTAAGGAAGAGTTCACACAACCTTCAGAGCAATGTCAGGACTTTGTCACACCATCTACTTCTGGTATAGAACACGACAAAAAGAAATGTAGTGGTAAAAATAAAAAAGTTGAACATTTGGAAGAACAGGCTGCATTGAAAAAAGCAATCGATGTATTGAATAAACCACAAGACGACTACTCAGTGTTTGGAGACTATGTTGCTTCGGAATTACGCCAATTACGTTCCGATGAAAATAGGAAAATACTGAAACGCACCATTATGAAAGCTATCATTGAAATGGGAGAAAAGGAAGACCTCGAATATTCATCATCTACATCGACCCCTATTCCCCCATGTTCATCTCCTGAATCTTATAGTAATTATGACGCTAATGTAGGCCATGGAACAACTACCTAAAGTAGTGACAGTAATATCGGGTTGCAATGCTATTTTACCGACTTACAATTATTTCTTACCTTAAGATAATCTTCTTTCAGAACTTCGTATAGTGCCTTACAACCCTCGGGGATTATTTTCGAAATAATTGTTACTGGTATGCGGAACGTGTACATCAGTGAGTGGTAACTGTCCCCTGAAAGAAATATTACAGGTCTGATAAATTCATGTTTGGCATTATTTACTAAAATATTTTTTTCCTTTCATGTACATGTATGCTTTGTAATAAATTTACAAATATATTCAAGGGTTTTATTCATTCATAGTACTTACCAGATGTTAGAAATCGAAGTGTAAGCATTAGCCTTTCTGAAGGGGTGATTGCTTTTCTGAGATGAGTATCTTGTCTTTTAATTTTAGGGGTCACTTTTTACAGTAAATAATCATAATCTTCAGGACACATACGTAGAAAGTTCTTATAGATTACTGCATCCTCATCAAGCAATTCTCTTAACAGTTTTGCATGTGCTCCCTCTTCATTTCTTCTGGCTATCCATTTTCTGACCCACACATTTTTCTTTCTCTTCTTTTTCTTCAAATCCTTCATTATAACTAATGTCGCAGCTGCAGCAACTAGGCGCCTTGATTGTGACATCTCACCACACACAAATCTCAAGTCTGACTGAGACTTCCTCGTCAAACACACTCCAGTGTACACAAACGGTAGAGCAATTTCGCTAGATTTAATCTAGTACCACTCTATCAAAGCTCTAGAGAGAGCAAATTTTGGTGTAGTGTACACACACTTTAGATTAGTCTCGCTAGAGAAAGCCAAGTCTAGCTAGATTTTAATCTACAGTGTACACGTACCTTAACAACCACGACTATGATTATAACAACCACGACCATGATTATAACAACCACGACCATGATTATAACAACCACGACCATGATTATAATAACCACGACCATGATTATAATAACCACGACCATGATTATAATAACCACGACTATGATCATAACCACGACCATGATTATAACAACCACGACCATGATCATAACCACGACCATGATTATAACAACCACGACCATGATTATAACAACCACGACCATGATTATAACAACCACGACCATGATTCTAACAACCACGACCATGATTATAACATCCTCGGTAAACTGTACCACCGGACTCGCCACAGGGCACGAAGGGTCCAAGATCACTTGTAGTTAATACTGGGTGCTAACATAATTATTAAATTATCTTTGTCGGACTGAACGTTTTGTGCTTTCACTGAAGGTACATTTTCCTCGTAAGTAGAGACTTAAGAACACATCTTCTTAACTCATATAAGAACCTTTAAGAAATTGGTACAGGATTGATGACATCTACAGCACGGAGGAGACTAGTGGCTGGCCAGGCGAGACTTCACTTTGTGGGAGACTTCACTTTCTGAGTGCGCTGGAACAGGTTTTTACTCTCGTCCTGAATATAACCTGAGGGCGTTTTTCTGGGGTTGGTGGGGGGGGGGAGGGGGCAGGACGTGTGAGTGAAGACAAAGAGGTTATTACAGGACAACAAGAAAGGATACAAGAAGCTAGTGGGGGGGGGGTGTTATGATGCCAAGAGGAAGACGTGAGTTAGGAGCGTCGTGTAAGTGAAGGTAAATCCTCTCCCGTGTTAATCCACTTTTACCATCTGTGTATCCTGCTGTCTTGACCACTTTTAATAACCGTTGATGTCTTCTGACGGCTTATATTAAGTTAGGCCACAACTTTGTTATTGTTTTATGGGGGTCGTGTATCTAATATACTATAGGAATAGCCGTGTGTGTCTGTTCTGGGCAGCCGAACGGCACAATCGTTTTTCATCAAACTTGGTGGAAAAATCGCAAAAAATTCGTAGAGTGGAACAAACCTGGTCCCATGTTGATGGTTTCTTTAGGAAGGCATTAATTAACCAATTTCGTGATAATCGGGCGGGCTGGTGGTGCTGCTATAATCGGTATAGTGAACTGTTCATATCTTGCTTTTGTTTCACGAAGTGAAAGAAAATGAACGCACATATACTCGTAATTTAATTAAATTCCTGAGCCATCCGTGCATTTTACCCGACACATTGTGCTGCAGAAGATAAATCTTTTTGTTAGCTCTTTTGCGAATTAAAAGTAAAAATAGATTGAAGATTAGGGAAAAGAACAAAATTCAAAACGTTTAAAGACAAAGAAGGATTGGACTCGTAATCCAAAACATTCATATGTCTTGTGGTCAGAAAATAATGTTCCCTCTAGTACGCTCTAGTAGCTGCGAGTATATAGAAATATTTAATCAAAACAACAGGTATAAAAAACTGGGTTTTGTTTTCAAATATTTCCTCAGTCGAGTGACTCTGTCCTACTACTGTACACAAAGCACCAAGAGAAAATTTAGATACGAACTTCTCAGAATGAAGATTAGTCTGTATATTATTTAAGTCAACTAAAACAATTTTGGCCAGAAAATTACCGATATTCATTTTTCAATAGTACAGTAACTGTGTACCAAGGATAATATACTGTTTATAGTCTTTTTAAGAATGCACTACTGTATATCACAAAACGAGGAACGTACATCATAAATTCGCATTACTTGTGTAACAAAACGTGCACATCCAAATGAATTATACGACTGTAAGATACATTAACTTGTCGAAAACAATTATATTAAGAAGCAGTAAGGACCTTATAGACTTAGACTATGTATTCAGTATAACTTGTCACTTGATTTTATAAACTTGATTATATGCATCTAAATTACTTATTCGACCAGTATTTGGATATGAATTCATAACGTAAGCAACTCACTCTTAGAGCTCTCGTGATAATCGTCATGATCAAAGGATAGTGCTGTAAGTGTAAAGGATGTTGTGGTGGCATCAGCAACATCCGAGGGTAGTGCACTCACTGGAACAGCCTGGAGCCTTGGAGGTGTGTCTGGGGCCAGCCCGGGTGCACATTGCACTCTTGGGGTCGGCCGGGGAAGGCGAAGGCTGAGACGACTTTATTTCCAATTAGCCCCAGCGCCGGGTAAATACCTCAGTATCCGGGGTAGAAGGCAGGTAGGGAGGGAGAGTCGACTTACTCAAGGAGAGATGCGTGGTGCCCACTCCTAGGATGAATACGCACAAAGAAAAATCTCATTGTTAAAAGCTTACCCACATCTTTATATATATATATATATATATATATATATATATATATATATATATATATATATATATATATATATATATATATATATATATATATATATTCTCGCTTGACGCCCCACCTTTGTGTACTACTTTATATGAATACGCGTTGGCAACTTTGAAATATTTAATAAAACGAAGAAAAGACTGTTCGGCAACGGAAAGTATCCCTAAATAGAAATGGTGACTTTTTTATCGTTTATATGTTGCTGGCCGAAAATATAAAAAATCAAACTCATGTATACTATAAACTCGGTCTGGCAACTGAACGTTACTATGGCAGCCGTCCGCCTTTCACGCCGTTTGCTCTTCACCATAATCTGGGATCAGCCAGTTTTTCTTAAGCGTTTCCGTGTCCTCGCTGGTTACGTATACTCCTTCCGCGTGCAGTTTATGTGTCTTCCGTATCGAACCACTATTATTACAACTATTTATGCTGGGAATACTTTTGTACATTCTACGCCTCCAGCACAATGTAAAGCTATTACATTTATAAAGGTCAAAAGAGAACACTCCCTTGGATGCATCAGTGTCAGTATCTACCAACTTACGTTATATTAATATATATATATATATATATATATATATATATATATATATATATATATATATATATATATATATATATATATATATATGCAAGTAAATCACTGTAGGTGCGCGTGATCTAGGTATATGCTGATAACCACAAGGAAAGAAGAAAACACGAAGTTCCCAAGCGCTTTCGTGTAATTCACATCTGCAGGGGTGAGTACAGACTAAAGAGAAATACAAACCAAGGTGTATATTTACAGAGGAGGGTGAGACCAGGTCCACAATGGTCAGGTATTAGGTAATGACCCTACTAATCTTTAAATAGCACACAACGGTTGGTGGTCAGGTCAGGTCAGAGGGTCAGAGGTCCCGCAATATCCACTGCTATCCTCCATGCACCGGCTCCTGAATGTACCTGAACCCGCTCCAGTGTTGGTCAAATCTTGTCTTGAAAGAGCTCACACTCGGTGCCGTCACAACACTCTCTGGTAGATTGTTCCAAGAGTTTACAACCCTCACTCCGAAAAAGTTTGCCCTCACAGTTTTCTGGACTTGCGACTTCTTCAATCTTGAGCTGTGACCCCTTGTGGGGCGAGCGTCCGCCAGTTCCAAGTAAGGATACTCAACTGAGTAGTGCCCTCTGAGATGCTTATACACCTCAACTAGGTCCCCCCTTGCCCGTCTGCAGTATCAGCTGGGCAAGTTCAGGCGCTCCAATCTCTCAGGGTAGCTGAGGTGCCGAAGTGCAGGCACCAGTCTGGTGGCCCTCCTTTAAACATTTTCAACCAACTGACAGTCCCTAGCATATCTCGGGGACCAGATGGGGTGACAGTACTCCAGATGGGGAAGCACTTCAATCCTGAAGATCGTTACGAGAGGGACGGACCGTCTAGATATCTGAACGACCTTCTTATAAGACCCAATAATTTATTTGACTGATTTACCTTCTTCTCGCAATGGCCCGAGAACTTCAGCTCATTGTCAACATACACACCGAGGTCCTTCTCACATTCAGTCTCAAATAGTGCAGTCTCTTCCTCCTGTTGGGACATATGATACGCCTCCTTACCATTGGTACACCCCAGGTGCATCCTCTTACACTTCGTGACATTGAATCTCAGCAGCCATTTCTTCGACCATTCCTGAAGCCCACAGTCCGCTTGGTTCTTAATTTCCCGAAATAACTTGGCGTCATCGGCAAACATTTGTGTGGAGGAGTGTACAACCACAGGCATGTCATTTATGAAGCAAACAAACAACAGTGGGCCCAATACACTGCCCTGTGGTACCCCACTTGTGACAGGTACAGATGACGATTTCGTGCCATTAATCACAACACACTGCTTGCGGTCATGTAGAAATATTCTATCCACGCTAGGGCATTTCCCCGAATTCCGTACCCTTCCAGTTTGATAACAAATATAAAAGTTATAAATTCCCATGTTCACTGTTAAACTTGTAATTTTTTTCCTTGGATGGGGAAAAATATCCAACAATTAAAGCTAATTCATAAGTCCTTTGGCAAAGCCTTAAAATGTCATTAACCTCTTTTCAACTGTTTAGTGATGATGTGAGATGAAATACCTCCTGTATCAGATTTTAAAACTAGTTGAGATCCATAAATATTTTTCGGTAAAATACGGTATCAGCAAAATACTTCAGTATATTTATCTACGAGAGAAGTATTGAAGAGTAAATAACGAATTAGGTGGTGGCCAGGCCTAGTGTGTTTTTAACTTTAGGTTAGAGAAACGCTGGCTGCTGTGACTGACTGGTCGAAGCCAGGTCGACCCCAGTCAGATATTACCCAACCCCGGGATGACTTGTATGATGTTATTACTTCAGAGTTGTACGTTTCCTTGTGGCTGAAAGTTTCCACTGCGTGCTTTAACAGTGATGTAACGAAATTTACGAATCACAGATAAAAAATTAACTATGAAGGTTATTGGGAATATTCCTTAAAGTTCGCGTTAGCATTTCGTTTAACATGTAGCCGCCTTTTTTCGTCACTGTTTATGGTTTCTAGTTTATCATAATGGTAACACCACAAAATAAAATGTGGATGCAACATAATAAATATGTTCTTGAATATAATAGTGCCTGTGATTGTTGCACATGTAGCAAGTTTGGTAACCCGCGGTTGG